AAAAAATGCAATCAATTTTTATTTATTACATGTGAGAAAAAAATGTAATAAATAAAAATTAATTACATGTGAGAAAAAAAAGTGTAATCATAAATAAAAATTAATTGCATGAGAGAAAAAATATATAGTTGGATTGTACGAGATTTTCAAAACATTTAATGTACGTGCAGGTCGAGGGAAGTTCAAATGCATTCTTAAAGCATCAAAAACATCAACGAGTTCAAATCAACACAAAGAATATGGCACCAGATCTTGCAATTATGTTGAGAGAAAATGAACTTATGACGGAACAGTACAGTACCAAATACATTAAAAAAACAAAAACAGTGACTGCATATTAATTACCGATTCCTAACTTTGCATTCACGATTTTTTTATAAAATACTTTAATGAAAAAACAATTACATCATATTTGGTTGTAAGTATTAGACATGCTACCCCTTTTTTCTTTTCTTTTTCTTTTTTTTTACAGACAAAAGGAATTCATTTTTTAGCGACTCCCATCTCCTACGTGGATGCACCGCCTTCAGAAACGCTGAAATGCCACTTACCCTCTGAAAGAAGTCGTCAGCTGATAAAATTCTACCTTCTATATCAATCGGAAGCTTCATTATCTCGGTGTCCCATGGGTCAGAGGGGCTTCCTGCAACGACAAAAGACAGATTATTAATGCATGCAGGCCTATGTACTTAGGTATATTGTAGGTCTATATTTGACAAACAGACGTGTACAAATTCATATTAATAAAGAGGCTATGAATGAGGGGAGAGAGAAAGAGTGGAGGGAGAGAGTGGAGGGAGAGAGTGGAAGGGTGGAGGGAGAGAGTGGAAGGGTGGAGGGAGAGAGTGGAGGGGTGGAGGGAGAGAGTGGAGGGGTGGAGGGAGAGAGTGGAAGGGTGGAGGGAGAGAGTGGAGGGGTGGAGGGAGAGAGTGGAGGGGTGGAGGGAGAGAGTGGAGGGGTGGAGGGAGAGAGTGGAGGGGTGGAGGGAGAGAGTGGAGGGGTGGAGGGAGAGAGTGGAGGGGTGGAGGGAGAGAGTGGAGGGGTGGAGGGAGAGAGTGGAGGGGTGGAGGGAGGGAGGGAGAGAGTGGAGGGGTGGAGGGAGAGAGTGGAGGGAGGGAGGGAGGGAGAGTGAGTGGGGGAGAGAGCACACACAGGGGAGAGGGCGAAAGGGAGAGACCCAAACAAAGACCCAGACTTTTCTAAGTCAATCTTTTCGTAATTTATAACCAGGATTGTTCCTTTGCACGATAAATTACTAATTGATCACTCAACTTTACCCGAAATCTCCAGCCAAAAAGAAAAAAAAAACATATAAATACATAAATATATACATATACATTTCGCTCCCTTCATCCTATCCTGGTGTTCTCTACTCGATAGATAAAGATCGACTGAACCTCTGTTACTCACGGTATGATCCAGAATAACTACCACGTCCTACCTTACTCCCCCCCCCACACACACACAGGTGTAAACTTAGTGAATCTGATCCATACTGACGCCTCACCTAAGATACATGAGCCTCAGCTGAGTTATTGCTTATGGCTATCGGCCACTAACATTATGGGTAAACGATCACGCCATTAATGTCCTTAATAAAAGATCGTGTCATTACGATTATCGATAAACTATCACTGCCTTAATACTGTCATTTCCAACACTTATCAACACCCTTCGCCAAACTCTCGCTGAGGGCCTGGGAGAACCTGGAGGGCGGAGTCGACAATGTGGGTGCCTCCTTCAGCATGAATATATTACATTACATCACATTACATGCATTGCACGAGATAATTAATCCAAGAAAGACACGGCAGAGTCCAGACTCGGGAGGGCATCCTAGAACACTCTTGGATACGACTTAAGCTGCATAAAGTTCTAATCTTTTACTGTCTTAGTACTTAAACAGGACGATCGCATTGCAGCATTATTAGTTTACATTATGCATTTGTAAAATATCTATTGTAAGAAAATCCTAGGGTAAAAAATCATCATAATGACAAAATTCTACGAGTATGAATCCCCACCAGAGTAACATCATGCAACTGGTGCCATACTATACTATCTCGCAGAACAGCTATTCTCAAAACCATTTAAAACAAGACTTTTAAGATGACATGCAACAGGTGGAAACACGCAACTCCAGGAAAATGAAAGAACAAGATTTATCCTGTTAACAAGTGTTGCCTGAACTTCCAGCAGTCTCGTTAAGGTTTCGGTATGGAAAGGAAGTGCGTGAATTGGTTCGCATGAAAACCGGAAGACATCACTGGAAATTTGTAGGAAAATACGTTTAATAAATGAATATTCGACGCTGTTGATATACATACAAGATATGCCAATCATATAACTATCTATACAAATACATCGCGTCGACACCAAGTGAATTGATGGAAACACTTGAATTGTGGTCAAGTAACATGCACGAAACAGAGAGGTTACCTAGGCCTAAACAACACGTTCTGTTGAAAGGTGCATTCAACATAGACATGACAGGTCGCAGGCTACAAATATTGCTTTAGTGAATCCCGCCTTTTCGTATGTTCAAGATGTATGGCCCGAGGTAACAGATCTCACACACTTGAACCTGTTTTTTATATCAAATGCTGTTGTCGTTTTTGGTTATAGATTCCTATGTTCAGCTACGAGAAACACAGACCCCTACCTACACACGTCCGCATATGCATAACCACCTACCTACACACACATATTTATATATTATATACATACACAGTTGCTTCTATTCATACAAACTTAGAGACGCGCAACCACTTACGTACATACACAAATGCAAAGGCACTAACACACACACACGTATACATCACTGACTACATACCTAAACATGCACAAGCAACTGCCCAGCCACCTGCATGCATATACACGCAAGCAACTGCCCAGCCACATGCATGCATATATATGCATGCATGCCCAGCCACATGCATGCAAATACACACAAGCAACTGCCCAGCCACATGCATGCACACACACGCAAGCAACTGCTCAGCCACATGCATGCATATACACACAAGCAACTGCCCAGCCACATGCATGCACACACACGCAAGCAACTGCCCAGCCACATGCATGCACACACACGCAAGCAACTGCCCAGCCACATGCATGCACACACACGCAAGCAACTGCCCAGCCACATGCATGCACATACACACAAGCAACTGCCCAGCCACATGCATGCACATACACACATGCATGCCCAGCCACATGCATGCATATACACATGCATGCCCAGCCATATGCATGCATATTCACACATGCATGCCCAGCCACATGCATGCACATACACACAAGCAACTGCCCAGCCATATGCATGCATATACACACAAGCAACTGCCCAGCCATATGCATGCATATACACACATGCATGCCCAGCCATATGCATGCATATACACACATGCATGCCCAGCCACATGCAAGCATATACACACATGCATGCCCAGCCACATGCATGCACACACACGCAAGCAACTGCCCAGCCACCTGCATGCATATACACACATGCATGCCCAGCCATATGCATGCATATACACACATGCATGCCCAGCCACATGCAAGCATATACACACAAGCAACTGCCCAGCCACATGCATGCACATACACACAAGCAACTGCCCAGCCACCTGCATGCATATACACACATGCATGCCCAGCCACATGCAAGCATATACACACATGCATGCCCAGCCACATGCAAGCATATACACACATGCATGCCCAGCCACATGCAAGCATATACACACAAGCAACTGCCCAGCCACCTGCATGCACATACACACAAGCAACTGCCCAGCCACCTGCATGCACATACACACAAGCAACTGCCCAGCCACCTGCATGCACATACACACAAGCAACTGCCCAGCCACCTGCATGCACATACACACATGCATGCCCAGCCACATGCATGCATATACACACATGCAATGCCCAGCCACATGCATGCCCAGCCACATGCATGCATATACACACACATGCATGCCCAGCCACATGCATGCATATACACACACATGCATGCCCAGCCACATGCATGCATATAAACACATGCATGCCCAGCCACATGCATGCAATATACACACACATGCATGCCCAGCCAAATGCATGCATATACAAACATGCAACTGCCCACCACATGCATGCATATACACCACATGCAACTGCCCACCACATGCATGCATATTACACACATGCATGCCCAGCCACCTGCATGCACATACACACATGCATGCCCAGCCACATTGCATGCATATACACACATGAAACTGCCCAGCCACATGCATGCACATACACACAAGCAACTGCCAGCCACATGCATTGCATATACACACATGAAACTGCCCAGCCACATGCATGGCATATACACACATGCAACTGCCCAGCCACAGCATGCATATACACACATGCAACTGCCCAGCCACATGCATGCATATACACACATGCAACTGCCCAGCCACATGCATGCATATACACACATGCAACTGCCCAGCCACATGCATGCATATACACACATGCAACTGCCCAGCCACATGCATGCATATACACACATGCAACTGCCCAGCCACATGCATGCATATACACACATGCAACTGCCCAGCCACATGCATGCATATACACACATGCAACTGCCCAGCCACATGCATGCATATACACACATGCAACTGCCCAGCCACATGCATGCATATACACACATGCAACTGCCCAGCCACATGCATGCATATACACACATGCAACTGCCCAGCCACATGCATGCATATACACACATGCAACTGCCCAGCCACATGCATGCATATACACACATGCAACTGCCCAGCCACATGCATGCATATACACACATGCAACTGCCCAGCCACATGCATGCATATACACACATGCAACTGCCCAGCCACATGCATGCATATACACACATGCAACTGCCCAGCCACATGCATGCATATACACACATGCAACTGCCCAGCCACATGCATGCATATACACACATGCAACTGCCCAGCCACATGCATGCATATACACACATGCAACTGCCCAGCCACATGCATGCATATACACACATGCAACTGCCCAGCCACATGCATGCATATACACACATGCAACTGCCCAGCCACATGCATGCTATACACACATGCAACTGCCCAGCCACATGCATGCATATACACACATGCAACTGCCCAGCCACATGCATGCATATACACACATGCAACTGCCCAGCCACATGCATGCATATACACACATGCAACTGCCCAGCCACATGCATGCATATACACACATGCAACTGCCCAGCCACATGCATGCATATACACACATGCAACTGCCCAGCCACATGCATGCATATACACACATGCAACTGCCCAGCCACATGCATGCATATACACACATGCAACTGCCCAGCCACATGCATGCACATACACACAAGCAAACTGCCCAGCCACATGCATGCACATACACACATGCATGCCAGCCACATGCATGCTATACACACATGCAACTTGCCCAGCCACATGCAAGCATATACACACATGCATGCCAGCCACATGCATTGCATATACACACATGCATGCCAGCCACATGCATTGCATATACACACATGCAACTGCCCAGGCCACATGCATGCATTATACACACATGCAACTGCCCAGCACATGCATGCATATCACACATGCAACTGCCAGCCACATGCATGCTATACACACATGCAACTTGCCCAGCCACATGCATGCATATACACACATGCAACTGCCCAGCCACATGCATGCATATACACACATGCAACTGCCCCAGCCAATGCATGCATATACAACATGCAACTGCCCAGCACATGCATGCATATACACACATGAAACTGCCCAGCCACATGCAAGCATATACACACATGCAACTGCCAGCCACATGCATTGCATATACACACATGCATGCCCAGCAACATGCATGCATATACACACATTGCAACTGCCCAGCCACCATGCATGCATATACCACACATGCATGCCCAGCCACATGCATGCATTATACACACATGCAACTGCCCAGCCACATTGCATGCATATACACAACATGCAACTGCCCAGCCACTGCATGCACATACACACATGCATGCCCAGCCATATGCATGCATATACACACATTGCAACTGCCCAGCCACATGCAAGCATATACACACATGCATGCCCAGCCATATGCATGCATATACACACAGCAACTGCCCAGCCACTGCATGCATATACACCACATGCAACTGCCCAGCCACATTGCATGCATATACACACATGCATGCCCAGCAACATGCATGCATATAACACATGCAACTGCCAGCCACATGCATGGCATATACACACATGCATGCCCAGCCACATGCATGCATTATACACACATGCAACTGCCCAGCCACATGCATGCCCAGCCATATGCATGCATATACACACAAGCAATGCCCAGCCACATGCATGCATTATACACACATGCAACTGCCAGCCACATGCATGGCATATACACACATGCACTGCCCAGCCACATGCAGGCATATACACACATGAAACTGCCCAGCCACCTGCATGCATATACACACAAGCAAACTGCCCAGCCACATTGCATGCATATACACACAGCAACTGCCCAGCCACATGCAGGCATATACACACATGCAATGCCCAGCCACATTGCATGCATATACACAATGCAACTGCCCAGCCACATTGCATGCATATACACACACATGCATGCCCAGCCATATGCATGCATATACACACATTGCAACTGCCCAGCCACAGGCATGCATATACACAACATGCAACTGCCCAGCCAATGCATGCATATACAAACATGCAACTGCCCAGCCAAATGCATGCATATACACACATGAAACTGCCCAGCCACATTCAGAGTATAAATAACGATATACATAGTGTTTCTATATACATATACACAGACCGCTTTATATTTCTATAAATTATTTCAAGGAATGCGTTAAGTTATCATAACTCGTTCGTTACTGAATTTCAATCCATTTGGCTGTTCAATAATTTCTGACATTTGCTCTATATTCATTTCAAGTTTAATCGTTTAATATTTACTAATGTATATAATAACCTCAGAACAGAAACCGCCCACGTCCAGCGAGCGAGAACCGTGCCGTTTGTGAGCGCGGGGTTGCTAAGAGACATAGCCAACAACACCCTTTAAATATCACCATTTCTACCACACAGTGACCCGATACCAAACAGCCTCGGGTTATAAACAACAATAAGCTCCACACGCCCCTACTCACCCAATATCATCGCCTCTAACTTTCTTCTATCGACGCGAAACCTCTCCTCTACCAGGCCGTCTGCCAGAACGGTCACGGTCATTTTCTCCACGCTGTTGCATCTTGATATCGTCCCTTCAGAGAACGCTTCGGAAACCTCGTCAGACTCTTGGTAATCGTGTGGTCCCACGTTCATTATTCTGTCACGAAAACTACGTTCTGTCGTTATTATAATATCGTAGAAGAGGTCATGGAAGTTGATTATCGTTTGTCGGTGGACGGGACCATACTGTTCACGCTCGCACGGTCAGGCAGACTGTTCAAGAAAGACAGGAAAGTCCTCGTGAAATAAGCAATTTGGGTTGTTGATACAAGCGCCACCTATGAGTCGTCACAAAAATGCATATTGCAGGGGTTACCAATATATTATTTGGTGACTACTCTACAGATGAATTAATCATCTACACATTTTTCCTCAGGGCGAACTTTATTGAGCCTTAAACTGATAACGAAATCTATGTATGCTGAAAAGTTCTATGCACTGATACTGTGAATATGAATATGAATATGATATGTTATACATTTATATATATCTATATCTATATCTATCTATATATATATATATATATATATATATATATATATATATATATATATATATATATACATATATATATTTATGTATATATACATATATATAAACAACTGTGTATATATATACAAATATATACACATATATATATACATATATATAGGAATGGATATGCATTATATATATATATATATATATATATATATATATATATATATATATATATATATATATATATAAATATATATATATATATATATAAATATATATATATATATATATATATATATATATATATATATATATATATATATATATATATATATATATGTATGTATATTTAAAGCTTCCCGTACAGTACACAACACCTATGATATAAAAAGAATGTTTTGGTTACACATTCATAATGAAGAGAAAAAAATAAAACTTGTTGTTTATTCGTTGTTTATATATGTATGAATGTTCACACGTTTACATATGTGTGCATGTGTGTACACGCGTGCATTGTGCAAGTAATACAGTAAACTCTTAAATTATTATAATCGCAGTTTCACGAATAAGATACTAAACAATGGTAAGAAACAAACGATGATATTAAGTTTAACGAGATATAACAAAGTTATAATACTAATCACAATCACAATAGATCAAAGAATCGATCGTAAATCACACTGGCAGTGTTATGACATCACACCGTAAATACATATATTTTTTCCAAGTGATAGATTTCTATGTAGTGTTACTGAATCTATTATTGGACAAAAGGTATCGCGAGTATAATATGGAAATAGTATAAATAGTATGTTTTTATCATCATTATCCTTACATAACATGAGCCGTGGTTTTAATTTTGAGACATTACTTTACTTCCAGAAATAAACAGTCCTCCCTCATCTGGAGGGGGAGGGATGGAAAGTGAGAGAGAGAGAGAGAGAGAGAGAGAGAGAGAGAGAGAGAGAGAGAGAGAGAGAGAGAGAGAGAGAGAGAGAGAGAGAGAGAGAGAGAGAGAGAGAGAGAGAGAGAGGCAGACTGACAGACAGAGAGAAGAGAGCAAAAGATAAATACACACGGCAGCTCTAGATAAAAGACAACGCGCATAACCAACTCTATAGAAATCAATATACCCATGGACAATCTTAGGAGAAAGACGATGCCCATGGCAGATCTAAAGGGAAGACAATCCATGACAATATTGACCATGAGGGCTTCTAGAAAAAAACGAAACAAAAAACACTCATGATATCAACTCAAGAAAAGAGACTGTCCAATAGTACCCACGGAAACTAAAGGAAAGACAATGCCCATGGCAACTCTAGAGGAAAGGCCATACCCATAGCAACTCTAGAGGAAAGGCCATACCCATATCTAGAGGAAAGGCAATGCCCATAGCAACTCTAGAGGAAAGGAAGTACCTATATCAACTCTAGAGGAAAGGCAATGCCCATAGCAACTCTAGAAGAAAGGTCATACCCATAGCAACTCTAGAGCCATCTGTTGGGCCTCCTTGTCCCCGGCTCTTCTGATCACCGAACAGGCGAACTGCACCTGGAATTCCTTCAGATTTTAGGGTAGTTCCTCCTGACCAATCAGTAGACAGATGAGCCTTTCCTTCGCCGGATGAATGAAGGTTTTTGTCACTGCTGTAATACAAAAAAAAAAATCATCATTCTTATTAGGTTATTTCGTTACGTCTGCTATATACCCATGCATTTATTTCCAGTTTCGAAAAGGTATTACCTATACCCTTCAGGTCCCATTCCCTTATTATCAAATCGAAGTCGAATTTCACCACCCGAACGCAACCAAACACTATGAAACCGAAACGAAAGAATCTAAAATCATTTGTTTTTTCCTCACACACACCGGAATTCGGCGGGAAAGGTCTCGTCTCGTGGCGGTTCATACGAATGTGCGTCTGTTATTGATCACACGTCAAGGTCCTCTTCATACAGCGGAGAAGGCGAGGTGGCATGTGATGATGGCGAGGTGGCATATGATGATGGCGGGGTGTCACGCAGAGTAGACGAGGTGGCATGTGATGATGGCGAGGTGGCATGCAGAGAAGGGGAGGTTGCATGTGATAATGGCGAGGTGGCATGTGATGATGGTGAGGTGGCATGCAGAGAAGGCGAGGTGGCATGTGATGATGGCGAGGCGGC